TGTGCAGGGAAAGCCTTGGCAATCTTGCCGTAGCTGTCATTAGCACGCGTTCATTTCAAATTAATTAAAACGAAGATGAGGTTCCCAAACTCATTTAACTTCCTAAGCTTTGTTCTCCAGGGATTGATAGTGGAAAAACAGCTGGGGACCCAACGTGCCCTTTAGAAGGGGATGAAATGCAGTTAATCCTGGTTATATCAAAGGGAGCGGAAATGAAAAGTAAACTCCCATTTGAAAAGAGTGTGGGGTTTTTTTTCTTTCCCCTGTGCATTTCCTCTGCTCTGTTTTTCCGTACAAGAACTTTCTTGTCCAGGAAGGTTGGAAGATGATTGTAGCCCTGATTGTTTAAATATTAACCTGTGCTCTAAGATCCGTTTGTGTGCGTGAAAGAGTAAGACAAGTGCAATGGAAATCTTACAAATGTACTTTTTATCTGCTGGATAGAGCTACTTCAGAGAGTGCAGCGAGGTTAGTCAAAGTTGGAGTAGTTATATGGTTTGACAGGTCTAGTCTCTTAGGGTTTTCAGAAGTACTAACCTGCAGCAGCTCCATGATATTAGATGGATACGTGGGCCCTGAGTTTACCTCAAATCCATTTGTTACTGTTCCTCACCTGGACAAAAATCACTTTTTTGGGGCTAAAAGGCTTTGCAGAAGCAATATTTGTGTTGCATCAGGGAGAGTGCTTTGACTGTAAAGAGAAAAAGTGGAGGTCAGGCTACAAGATGGACTCCAAGTTTCTGTCCTGGGAGGACAAAGAGTAGCTACACTTTACTCTGCAAATGAAATGCCAGTTAAAACCTGTGTAAATCTGGAGTAAAACTGCGTTCATTCGTTCTTCAAGTAAGCCCTTGTGTAGTTGGTTATTCTGAAGCAATTTTGCTCTGTGATTTGGTGAGGGAAGCTGCTGAAACAAAACAGAAGTGCAGAACAGCTGTAGGAGTCATGCATCRCTTCTGACCTTTGTGTCCCACTCCTCACACAAACGAGTTAACCCTCTTTGAGCCTGGGAAAGGGTGRCAGTGTCTGTGATCCAACTTTGCTCGCGCGCCAGCTCTGAATACRGAGGACATGTAATAAACTACTTGCAAACAAACTCCAGCCCAAGAATTAAAAATTCATAAATGGTCTGGTAAATGCATTTGAATAATGAATAAACTAGAGAAGACAAGTTTTGTCAAGGAAGAACAGGGTCCAAAAAAAAACCACTCTGTGCTTACTCAATCTTTAATTGGCGTTTCCCACTAAAGCGAGCATGAGGCTGGAGGAGCCGGAGCCCCTTGAGCAGGGGCTTGGGCTGCCTTGGTAGCCGCGTGTTTGGGAAAGSCGGTTGACCCGAGTCTGGCAGATCGGTGGGTGTTGTGCTGGTGGCACCGGGTTGATGCCATGGGGTGTGATGGTGCTGTGCTGAAGTGCTGTAAGAGGAAGTTTTCATAGCGCCTGCCCACAATCTGCTCATCCATCTCCCACAGAAATCTCACACTTTCACACGTAGCTTTTGAGGCTTTGCAGTAGGCACAAATGACAATGAGCGGTTCCAAGGAGAGCGGCAAGTTGATTACTGGCTACAAAGCACTTTGGTTTGAGCACTTTTGGTTATTGTATTAGAAATTATTTTCAATCAACAGGCAAGTGAAGGTCACACCAGTGCTAGGAACTTGTGCCCTTGCACAACATTTTCCTTATCTTCAGTGGATGTGGTACATCCTTGGCTAAAATTGGAAATTGATACCGGACTTTTAAAAATGAAACTGTGATCCTAAGGTGTTYGAGATAAATCATGCAGCTACTGCATGCCTGATTTGTGCATCTGAATAGGTATTGGCGAGGCTGTTAGAGCTCTGGAGAAGCCTTTCCAAATGGATATGAGTCATATACCACTTAATCATTTAGATACTGATGAGGATTGTTTGTACATTCTCCTCCTTTTCCGTAAATGGAGGTGGCTTGTTTGGGAAAGGCAAGTGTTGGCTTTGCAGCGAGTTGGAACTGGTGTGGAGCTGCATTTGAAATCCGAGCTGTTCCTCCTGGTCCGTGTACCACTGAGAATCACCTATAAGCATTGCTTCCTGCAGTGGAAGTGCTTCCCATTTCAGATAAGAAGTCATAAGGGGTAGAGAGATTGCAAGGGGAGAGGAAACGTCCTAATTTTGGGGGGGAAATAGATGTATACAAATGTTTTTTATCATAAATTTGCTGATCAGACTCTATTATTTTTAACTACATCATTGTTCTGTTCACCTGTTGCATGCTTCTGAGTAGGCTGGGGATTTTACAGGGAATGCATCTGTTTTTCCATATTTGTCTCATTCTGCCTCATTTATGGTCTTGCTACTCCGTAGGCTTTGGTATTCCCTGTTTAACAAACATTTTTAACTTTCTTTTTGATTCTTATGGCGAGTCACAGTCCACCTAGAACATGAGGCAAGTTGGAATCTGTTAATAAGTGCTTACCTTTCTTGTATGTATACAGCAAGAGCTTCTAAGCAACTTTGAGGGCTGAACGTACCCCTGTGCTTCATTCTACCTCCTATAAATAAAAAATGKAGCCCTTTTTCAAAGCTAGGATTTAGAAGTACTCATAAAACATGAGCGAGTAGATGAAACAATGAATGCCCTAGATGCCGTGGATGGGTTGAGCTGAACTGAGGATGTGTCTGAGAATGGCAGAGCAAAGATACATTTAGGGTAGTGTGGTCAGCTCAGATTGCCCTGTGGTGGTTCTTCCAGAGGCTGCTCCAGAAGGCAGGTTCTTGAGSGGGATTAAAAATGCAGTAGCTGCAYTGCAGTTAGGAGGGATGCTGTGAAACTGCTCAAGGCTCTAATGGATGCATTTTGCTTCTCTTGTGACTCAAGTTTTGCCCTTGGGGTGAAGCTGCCTGAATTTTTAGACCTTCAGGACCTTCTGTACCTTTTATCATTGATTTGATTCAGTCTCATCTTTCTAGCAGCCTTTGATTTCCCAAGTGAATCAAAGTTCCAAATGTCATATTGCAGAGGATTGGCAGAAAAGGGGCTTTAAAAAGGACTTAGTTTGGAGCAGTAAGAGCCCCACACATCCAGCATTGAACAGCTCCCAGATGTGCCTGCTTCACTTAATTGCTGAAATCGGAGGTGTTGGGGATGGGTTTCATCTGAAAGTCTGATCTCCTAAAGTAAAAGGCATAGGACAACATTTGCTCATCCCCAGGAGATGCTGCCAGAAGTCTGTCTCTGATTAGCAATGTTAATGGAGTATTAACATAAGCCACGCCAGAAAGGGAAACTGTAGAACACATTATCATCAGGAGAGCCAGCTGTGTAAAGGCGTGTAAAGATGAAGATAAATGTAGTTTGTGGCCTGGGGAGCCGGCTGCTGAACTGTTCCAGCCCCTAATTCGGGAGGAGCGGAGTGGGGATGGACACGCCAACCTGCTGCGCTCCCTGCCACTGGATCGAAGAAGGATGGAGCAAGGAAAGAGCGGAGCAGATGTTACCTTCGTAGGAACGGGGAGATGAAGGGGATTTCCCAGCTGAGTTTTTCGCTGTAACAGACTAAATGCTTTTGGCCCATCTCTGAATTGTARCTGTTTAAGAACTTGCCTTTTGCAGCCTCTGTGGAAGGTTGATCCAGAGTCTAAGTAGGGCTCTGGTTTGTATTCTTAATATCTGCAGATGCTTTGCACTATTTTTCCTTGTTCTGTAGCTCTTCCTCTTGCCTCAGAGTCTGTGAGCAGTCTGGTCCGAGTGTGGCCCCAAGTTATTGTAGAGGTGCTAATTTCTTCTATTGCCTTATATTTGACTTAACGTCGAAGTGCTGCAAATCCATACGCACTTGCCATATTGTGTCCCAGATGACTTCTGTGTTGCCAGTTGACAGAAGTTTGTTCCTCGGAGGTTTTGTGAAATCCAGAGCTTTCACACACCAACCTCAATACCWCAGCCCCTTCATTTTATACATTGTGGTGATTTCTGCTCTCTTGGGAAGAGACCAGAGCTCTAAATCTGTAAGGCACAAAGATCTACAACAAAATACTTACACTTTAATGTCAGGACCAACAGGTACTTTGTGAATGAGCCCTGTGGTGCTAGATCCCATTGATCCAAGGTTGTTTGTGTAGTTTCATGATAGCTACGTACTTCTCCCAGTGACCCTTTTGACATTTTCCTGGTTTCCCTCCTGCAGAAGCACTTCAGCAGCAAAGTGCCGTGCTCTGCTGAGCAAACCTGGCATCTTGACAAGCTGACTTATTTGGTGTGTATTTACACTTGTAGAGTTTTAGTACTCTCCTGGCAATTGAGCTTCCTTCCTGCCTACATAAATATGATTTCATTATTAGCTTTGTTTAGTTGTTGCTCTGCATCTGCTTGCTTTCTTTTTCCAAAGCTGCCAAAGACAGTTGCAGGTGTCGATCTTGATTTGCACCCAAGGCATCCTGAGCTCTTTACCCTTGCTGTTGAGCTCATCTTGGCTGAACTCGCAWGGTCCAGGAGGGCCCAACTGACTTCACAGGAACTGCACAGCATGTAGCACCTGAGGTCAGGCCCTCCCTTTCCACTGAGTATCTGTGTGGCTCTGTCAGTGTAAAATAAATCCTGGAGTTGCAGCGCATTGCTCATTGTCTCCTGACAAATTGTGGCCAAGCATTACGCAGAAGCAGCAAATGAGGTACACRCACCTGATGAGAATCCTGGTTTCACCCAGTGCTGAGATGGTCTCTGGCACTTTGCAGAGCACAGCAATACGCTGCTGGGCTTCCCTTCTCCGAGTAGTGTCATCTATATGTTTTCCTGCATTCTCCCACTGCCTCTCCAACACCCCAAACAACAACAACATAATTATCCAGAGATCTGAGGATGAGTGTGATCATTGCAACCATCCTCTGACCTTCTGCCTAAAATAAACCCATAAAACCTTATCCCAATAACTTGTTGCTTTGAGCCTGTAAATTCTTTTAGAGCTGCATCTTGGCTTTATTCTGTGGTCTCACAGATGCTGCTTTTTGCCTTTTTTTTTGCAGATGAACTGCAAGCATGCAACCCTCCACAAGTCTGGGTTAAACCAGGCACTGTTCCTTCAGAAAGGAAGAAGGTAGGTGTTGCCTAGTATCTGTACATCTTCTGTTTGCTGGAAACTAGCCATAAGATTCCTGTGTGTCTTGATTTTCCTGATTGCCTATTTTTCATCCAGATTCTTTTTCTGGGTGCAAATGGATTCATATGCATGTACTGAATTGGATATGTACTGAAGATGTGTTATGCTAGTGGTCTTGTATGGGCATGAATCCTTGTCTTCCCAACCCATGTAGAAGGTAGCTCTGTTGAGGGAGTCTAGGAGATGAAGGGGAGCTGTGGGGAGCTATAGGGAGCTGCAAGCCCACATGGCTTTCCCTGTATGTGCAGCCTTCACCAAGTGAGACTGCTGCAGGTCGCTGTCACATCAATAGACTATTTTAGATCTCTTTCATGCTTTGGGAATTTTCCTGCACAGAAAAAAAAAATCAGATCTCTTAATTTTTAATTAATTAACATTAATTTTTACTTTGAGTTCAAGAACTAGGCTTGACCAAAGCCTTTCTGCTAGAAAAACATCAAAGTCTCACCTCACCAGCCCGGGGACCTGGCTCTGCAGTGGAAGGAGAGATCTGCTGCAATAGAGCTGGGCTGGTTTCCCTCTTGGGTGGAGGCTGAGAGAAGAGGTTTGGGGAGATGGAGGAGAGTCAAAGAAAGTGAAACCGAGTGGTCAATTTGCTGGCTGCAATCTTTGATCTGTGGTTGTCAGCAAACAGAATTGGAGCTCTGTGATTAGATGTACATGCTCATTATGTGTTGTACTCTCCAAGCAGGCATTGTACATACAGCACAATATATTCCGCTTCCTTTTGCCCAAATATCTTTTTTCATCTATATTGTATTAAGACCTTGAGGCCTATCATCGGGGAGAGAAAAAATACAATTTTCTTATTGTGCAATGCATTTCATTCCCAGCTGCTGTATTAAATTTATTCCTATTTGAAGTGGTGTCTGTGAGTATAAATCATTTAAGTTTATATGTTTTTGTTGCTGTGGCAACTGTTTGACTAATTGAATTCCAAAGTGTCTCTCTGTATTTCAAAGTTGTGATAAAGGGCACATATTTCTAGCAGCAGGAGTCTGAAGGGAGAGGAGCAACAAGCAACCCTATCCAGATGCCATCTCCTCAGTCTCCCTTGCACAAACCACACAGCAGCACCTCTGGCAACTGGGGAGCAGGGTAGTGACTGCAGAGGAGTCATAGCTGCTCTGTGAGCTCCATGTGAGTGACAAACTCAGAAATGCCATCAATGACTTTAAGATGGAGAAATGAATGAAGAATGAGCTGCCATGGCCACGAGAAGGTCAAATTTCCCTTTTCTGCCTCAGTTTCTCCATCCTTCAGCCATTACTGATAGACCAGAGTTACTTCATCGTGTGTGTGTATATATATAAAAACATATGGATACTGCAAAGGATTTCTGACCTGTCTTGCATTCCCAYTGGGTTGGCCTATAGAACTTGCTGGGCCAAAATTCAACTCTGCTGCRTGAGAATTGCGTTTTGGTTGCAAACTACAAGTAGATGATCACACTAGACTGAGCCAAGAGGACAGACATTGAAGGCTAGCTCTTTGTAAGGGGTTTTGTCCCCAGAGGACAGCTAGAGCAATWTGATTCCTTAGCAGGCAGAAATTTCCAGGCAGGAGCCTGCCTGTCTTGKGCTCTTCTCAGCTTGCTCTGGCCACTTCTGTGCTAGCCTAGAGAGAGCTCCTTTTTTGTGTGTTAATTATGTAGGTGTTTATTGCTGCCACAAAATGCTAATAGACAGCCTAATAGAARCCATGCTGGCTAATGAGAAGCTCCTGAATACCTGCTGCTTTTCTCKGGGAATAATGGCAGCAGGAATTCAGCAGGAAATAGTTTCCTGCACTCCAGCCTTGTGCTCTTACCTTGTGAACATGTTGTGGTGTTTAACCTTGTGTCCATCCCTCTCTGCAACCTAGGAAAACCTGGTAAGCTGCAACCTGGAAAAGCTAGGGCCTTGTTCTTCCCTCTTCCCRAAGGGGATGGAGGTGGCTGCTTGCCTTTCCTGCTTCCTAAGGGTAAACTGGGATGAGGGTTATGGAACTTGGAAAGGTTATTGTGTGCGCTGAGCCGGTTTGGAGCGGCTGTGGCAGGAGTGGAACATAGAAATCCTTGATCGGATCTGCCTTAGGCAAGAACTGCCTTAAATCAATAATGAAAAGAGACTCTGTCCATCAGGTCACCTGGCCGGAATTAATGAGGCTGAAATGGCCTCTGTTTTGTTGTTTGGATGCAGGGAAAGGAAGCTGTGTTGGATGAAGGTTGAGGAGACAGCRGGGTCCTTGGAAAGCAGCAGGACCTGGTAGCTAGTACAGTGTTTATGGGGGAAGAGYGGCTCAATATGGGCTCCTGGAGCACGAGGGGAGGAGCAGACCAAAATCTAGTGGTTGGGAGTCATAGGGCACATGTGCTGTGTTGGGAGGTTCACACACACTGGAAGGTGGGATGGTTGGTGGGATGTCATGTGGGTGCTGTGCTGAAGGTGATGCGTCTGGAGAAGATGAAATGGTGTCTTGGAGGAAGGRTGTCCTCATGATAGCAGAAGGGTGGGTGTAAATCTGCCTGCACAGTTTAGGAGACACTGCTAGGGCAAACAGAATATAGTGTGTATTTGTGTAGGTGTGTGTATGTATATRTGCACAGAGGATCAACTACTAAGACGGTACCACATGTGCAGTGTTCGCACTGTGTAGTTGGAGACTTTCTGTATGAGCTGGGTGGCTTAAGGAAGGGGGGACAGGTTGTGTGGGTTTATCTTTCTTGGTATGAAGGAGGAATGCAGGAATGGCTGGCTCTACTGGGCTGAAGGGTCGGTATTTTCACAAGAGTACAAGAAAGAGTGGCTTTAGGTATGACCAAGAAAGCACAGATATGCATGAGTGTACCCATCCCTTTCTGTGTTGGAGAGCAGTGCTGGCCTCTATTTCCATAGGGAAGCAAGTCTTCAGCAGAATAGTCAAAAGAAGGGGAAAAAAAAACCAAAAGGACCAAAAAAAGTCCAAGCCCAGGGGGCATAATCTATTTGAGATACTGAAAGCTGCAGAGATGAAGCTGTGAATGAAGAATGAAGAATGAAGACTCTTTTCACCAGCTGATATGGAAASTCCCAGCTGGGGCCAAGTTTCATGATTTTTTTCCCTAGTGGGCAGAAATTTTATGCTTCTGTTTTTGCTGCCAAAAGGAAAGTGGTCTGACTRCTGCAGAAAAGCCAAATGCTTCCCTCATGGGCCATCTTAGTGAACAGTTGTGAAAACACCAGATTTCGTAGTGAAGGTGGGAATTCTCAATGGTGAGGAACTGCAAATGAGGCATGTTGCAGGGTCCATATGGAGCTGCTGGWAGGAACCCAGCACCGTGCTCTTGGAAGCATTTCAGGAGAGGCTTTCAGCAAGTGGCAGAAAAGCAGCTCAAGGTTGGCCCCCAGGAAAACACACTGCCATAAAAATAGAACCTGAGCATCTTCTGTCACCTGGGCACCGGTACCCAGCTCCTGTCAAGTGTGTCTTCTGGCATCCATTCTTCCTGCCTTGAGTTTAACAGGTTGTGCAGATTATTTTATGATCAATAAATATCCATGCAGACACCGTGAAATTCTGATCAGAAAAATTTATAACACTAAGGCAGATATTGTGTAGCARGATACGAATAAATAGAAGTTGTCAGTCAAACCCTGGCAGCTAGAGTCTGGTGTCAGTTGCAATAAACAAACTGTTACTTCACAAATCACCTTTATAGTTTTGCCTAGTATTTCTGCAAAGGCTTTTTTATTTTTTGTTCAGCTTACAATGGTAAATATCTTTTGGCACTGGTGATTTTTAGTGTGAAAACAAAGTGTCAAAAGTTGAGGCAGAGAAYGACAGTGGAGGATTTTGCCATATTCCTGAACCATCTTCCCAGCACGGAGATTTCTTCAGCAGGTTGAGTTTAGGTGTTGAGCTCCTCAGACAACAACAAACTGGCAACACAACAGACCAGGGAAGTTGCTGAGTCCTCCTAAGTCAGGGAGAGCTTTCTGCATGGTGGGAGGGTTGTTTGAGGTAAGTAGGAAGAACTTATCAAGTCTATAGCAACACCCCAATTTCTTGCACTTGGGTCTATGCTTTGCCTAAAATTCATTATTAACGTACTTGCTGATATGGCCAACTGTACATGAACCCTAAAGTATCACTTGGAGATTCCTGTTTGCGTATCTGGAAATTGTTCATTAACTTTCAACACAACCGTGAAATAAAAAAGGAGAGGAGGAGCAGGTAGCGGTAGTTTTGTACTTTATTTGAGAAGAGAGCTACGTAAACTATGTTGAGGGGTACAGGTCTACGCACAGTTTCATCAATCAATAAATGGAATTAACGTAACACTGAAGATATGATACTTTGAAGAAGACATAGACACATGACCAAGGAGTATTTACAGCTCTAACATACAATATATTTATATTTGTGATGCATGTGTGCAACTGTGCACACAGATACAGCTGTGTACATGTGCGCACRCACACGTAGATAGGTATAAAAGGCTTTTAAAAAAAACTTACGTAATTGAAGAAATGAGTCTGCTTTTCATTTGCAGCAGCTGACTATTTTAAATGTGGAAATGGTTCCAGTTTGTGGTGGGCCTGGAGTGGGGATTTCGGTTTGAAATCCCTGTTCTCCAGTGGTCATTGGGCTGAACCTGAAGCACGTCTCTGTAGAGTGGTAGGTAGGCGGTAGGTTGTGGTGGAGTGGGGATGCACGAGGTGAACACAAAGGAGGGCGATGGAGCAATGGGGATGAAGGGATGCGTGGCTGCTGGGGCAGTAACGTGGAGATGAAAAAGAAATGACTTTTGCCATTAAATCATCCTTTATACTAAACATAAATTATTGACACAGTTTTAAAAAAATAATTTTCTGTTTCATTTCAAGGCTGGGGAGGGAGGAAGGGACAGAGCGGGAGGGGAAGGTCTAGGAAAAGTAAATACTTCAGCACTTTAAAAGGTCCCTTCACCTCACTGCAAATCCTCAATTCAAAAAGTCTTGTAAGTTTGGCTAATTGTATCAGTCATCCCCTTCCAGTGTAGCAGGATGTTCAGAACACATGATGTGAGAGGTAGGGATGCTCCCTTGGCCAATAATCCAGACCAGGGTTCCTCACCCAGAGCTACAGCCAGTAGAGATGGGGTGGGGAAGTTGGAGATCAGGACCACCTTCTTTTCTCCAGGCTCTTGCCTGGGGCTAAACCTGGCCTGTTCCTGGCAGGGCAGAAGTGTGAGTCTTAGTTTGGAGAAGAGGAGGCTGCAAGCTGGAAGAGGCTGAGAACCACCAAACTGGCACACAAGATGCAAAAGAAGCCCTGAACTAAGCAAACACACAGGTTGGTGCAGTGGGTAAAGACTGCTTTAAAAAAACAGAACTCTGGAGGAGGTGGGTGTTTCATGCCCATGGCTGGTAACAGCAGGAGTGTTGGTAGGGGAAACCACAGTGGTTGCACTGCCTCCCTTTTCATACAACCTCCTCAAGCCACTAAAATACAAATGAGMAAACTGTGTATCCTTGACCTTCACCTGGGCAAACCTTGCCTTCTTGCCTAACCCAGATGAGGCACAAGGATCTGCAATGCTTGTTGAAAGTTAAATCAATGTCAATCATTTGTCTCTACATAAATCCTTCATTTCTCAAAATAACATATGTAAAATAGCATTTTGTTAGCACAAAATGGGGGAGGGGAGGTTATTCAATGTATTTATTTATTTTTGTTCTGCTTTAAGCCTATCTATGCGAAGCTGTCATGCAAGAAATTGCCTCCCAGTTTAGCTGAAAGTTTAAAGGACACTTCTAAAAAAAGGAAAATGAAATAGGCAAATCTTTTTCACAGAGGGAGTTGGCTGTGTGGGGGAGCCATGGAGGGTGAGGGAGGGAGACTAAAGCAAGCCAGGCCACTTCTATCCAAGCGAGAGCCATCAGGGATCAAATTGTATCCCCTGAAGGTCATGATTCTGGTTATGGTTCTGTATTCTGATATCCAGATCCAGGGCAGTGGCCACGCTTTGTACTTACTGCATGTAACAAGAGTCCAAGCTGGTTGGAGATAGGATGGCGAGGTCACTCTGACAATGCAGGTAGTGGAGCTCCAAGGCTACAAAAAAGCTCTGGGTTCACAGAACTGTCAATTGGTACCAGGTGTTGGCACCCAGCGCATGTGATGCTCTGCTGCCAATGTCAGGGTGCATTAAAACTGCTGCTCTACCACCAGCGTGACTTGGATGTGCTTCTCATTTCTTGTATTTTCTCACCAGGCTGATTCAGTTCATGGTGTTTTCAGGCATAATTTTAGGGTGTATCATCTTCAATCTTCTCCAGAAAAACAAGCGGGACAAAATCCAGTGTATGTGGTCTGAGCAAGCACCTGTACGTGAGATAGGACTTTTCCCTCTGAAGCCACGACTGATGCCACCATCTCTTCAAGTGTCCTGAAGCCATAGATCTTCATTTCTGGCTAAATCTTTCCTGGCAGTTCCTGTTACAGGGTGATAGGGCAGAGTTTTTAGCAATGTGACTTTTTATTGATCAGAGTTGTAAAGTCTTTCAGGGGCCATAGTCTCATATGTCCCTTCTTTTGGGTCTTTTTTTATCCATTTGTCCTTTACCCCCAGTAACTTCAGTTGATGGTCAAAGCTGAATGGGATGATCCCAACGCTAAAATAAAGGCATTGTTCCTCAAGTGCTGACGATACAATATTTCTCCATTTGTCAAACCATTCCAAGAGATCTGACTAGAAGACAGGAACATTTCATGGGCCAGATACGAGGGGCAGCCTTGAGAGGTGGAACACTGGCGTGGAACGGAGTAGGACGGAGAATGTAATTCTGGAGGGGAAATTCCTCTCATGAGTTCTGCCCTGGTCACACTGCATTTTAAGACATCTTGCCTCTGCCACTTGCAAAGAGATGATAAGAACTCAGGTTTTTACAAGAAGGAAAACAAATCAAAGCCAAACAAAGTCCTGAGGGCCATTCCTTGTTGGTGCCACCATGAGGAAGGGCCTTTGGTTCCCCAGGGATTGGGATGGGGAGGTGGCCGCTGTCCTCGGTGCTGAAGGTGTCGCCTGCCCACAGCCCCTGACAGGGGCATCTCTGCTGCAGGAGGGTCGGTGGGGACAGGTCAGCGAAAGCAGCTCCTGCCCCACACTGCAGCTGCCCTGAGCCTGTCCGAGCAGCCTGATGCACAGGGGTGAGGGCTCAGAGGGGCTGAAGTCTGTTAAAGCCTCAGTGTGTTAAAGCCTCATGTTTGCTGCTATTTGTTTTTTTGTTGTTTGGTTTGTTTGTTTTTTCTCTTAGCCTTGATGGAGGGGCAGGTTGAACTGTCTCAAGTCATGGGAGCCGTGCTCGTATCAAAGAGCTTTCAGAGAGGTGTAAAAGACTCTGCACTCCAGGCTCTTGCTACCAAAGAGGTGCTGAGCAACAAAACTGATACGTTACGCAAAAGGATGTGTTCTATCTCTCTCCCCATGCGAAATCTGCTTCTTACCTTAATTTCAGATTTCAAGGAAGCTGTAAGATGGGATTTGCTCTGCATTAGCAGAAGAAGAGAAAGGAAATTAAAAGTGAGGGAGGTTTGTAAGATAGCAGCTCCAATCTTGATGGCCATTGTTCTTTGTTGCCAGGGTGAATGCTCTAGAGTCTTTTCTCATATACAAGCGTGGATTTCTTGCCTTATGAACTAACAAATACCTTTTTTTTTTTTTTTTTTAACCTATGGAATTTCTTTCTTTTCCTTTCTCCTGCTGCTCCATCCCTAATGTTGTAGCGATCCTTAGTGCCTCTTAGCATCCAGCCCTTACTGACTTCAGATAAAGTTATGGATGTTCAATGCCTTCAAATTTTAGGTAGCATTACCCAAGATGGTTTAGTTACATAGGAACAGTTCAGTCCCTTGCTGATTATTTCTATTGTCTCAATCTAGCTATATAAGAATGAGGCTGGACTAGAACAGATCCCAGCCGGAATCAATCCCAACCGTCTCTCCAGCAATCAGTGCAACCTGCTGGGAACTGAGTAACAGCTGAATTCTTGGTGAGAGAAATTACAGGCATAAAAACAAAATCAAATAGACTCCTTCTGCTCATTCAACACTTCAGAACATATTTATAGGTAGTGCTCATAGCATCTTAAAAAACTGAGTTTAAAAAGAAATTACATTGCTCCTGTTGGGGAAAATAAGTTTGCTTTTCTGTCACTTGCACTGTCTTTGCCCCTGATGAAAAGCAGGAAGACAGACATGAATTACATACCCTTTCAGCCCTGCTCTCTACTGCTTGGGCTTTTCTGAAACCCCTGAGATGGATCTGTGAAAAAGAGGAGTTTGAAGGTCATGTGAAGGCCATCAAAACTGGAAGAAGAATGGAAGCGATGAATGGAAACCTGCTTATGAAAAGCTGGGGACTTGCTCTGTGAAGCAGGGAAGGACCTAGTAGAGGAACAGATGGCTTCACAGTMTGACTCCCAATTGTGCCTATTCCTTAGACTCCTCCACTATATCCCTCTCCCTCTGCTCTCGAGTCTTGCTGTCAATGGAAGGAAAAGCTGAAGAGAAATCTTAGCACTAATGAAAATCCCTACATAAAGGATGTTTCAATTTCTTTATTTTTTTTYCCCCCACTATTACCTTCAAGTCAGCCATACCCTAATTCTGGCCTTATGTAAGTGGATAGGGGAGCCACACAAACTACAGTTCTGAACTCCCTGGTGAATGCATCAAAGTAGAAACAAATTAACAGGACAGACTGACAGTCTTTCCCTCTACCTACTGGAATTCTTTGCCAAAAGAAAGAAAACATAACTGGTATAAAGCTTGGAGAGGACATACTTGAGACTTCAAGCAGAAGAGCAGTCCTCCTAAAAGTACACAGGAAGGCTGTAAATGAGAGTCCCTGCTCTACCTCGGATCTGCATCTGTCACAGTAAGGTGAGGCAGAAAGCATGTGTCTTCCAAGGCCAGTGCTCTTTAATGGGATGGGAGAAAAAGCTCTTAGCAGGTACTAGTTATTGCCTTGGGAATAATCAGTGGTGAGGCAGGAAGGGAACTAAACTAATCAGCMCACTTACTCCAAGACTGCAAGGAGCTACGACTCCTCGGTGGCCTGGCTTGAGCGCTGGGCCATCTCTGTGGCATAGACATCTAGGCACCACTGTGGACAGCAGAAGGCGGCTGCGTGGTGAAGCAGATGGCTGCGATTCTGCAAAGGGCAAAACCAGAGGCCTCACAATCTGATCAGATCAGCCTCCGGAGCAGTCATGTCTCACACGGCATCACACAACAAGAGCTTTGTAAGAAGCACCCCCTTCCATTTCCCCCTTCACACTTTCACATTCAGCGTTGAAGAGAATATCAAGGTTATGTGTTTCCTGAAATAYGGTTGCCTGAATAAATACACTGACAGAGACCTCTTTGTAGAGCAATAGCAGAATGAGTAACAGTGCATCGCTATCATGGGAAATAAAAAGAAAAGTAACCCAAACGCAGTTCAGCCCAAATCATTCCAAACCCCAAAGGCTGGCTTTTTTTTTTCTTTTTTCTTTTTTTTTTTTTTTAATGTGTCTGACATTTTATGGCATCAATAATGCAAACAAAGAGGAAATCATATTTGCAGAACACTAATGCACGGATGTCTAAAGCGAAATACAATACTGATTACTTTTTAAATGAAGCCACCAGGTTTTGATGTGCTGTGGCGGTTAAATTGGTCCATCAAATTCCTTCTCTAGTCTAAAACAACAGCTTGACCTTCTTTATAACCTTGGATAGCCTTTTCAGCTGTATTCAGTTTGGGAATGGTAAGTGTTAGTTTGAAGCAATCTTCCTTATGGGCCTGTTTTCAGAAATGCCAAGGGCACTGAAGATGAGGGGAACTACGGGCACGTCACCTCTTCTTAGACCATCCAAGGCCTTTGACAAAAACAACAATAAACCTACTGCCAGGAGCTGTTGGTAAGAGCAGAGCTGGGCTCTGAAAGGGATTTTTGCAAGTACTACTGAGATTTTTTGCCTTTAGGATTGGTGACTAACCTCTTCAGCACCTGGTAGCCTGTATCTTGCCTAGAACTTTCTGCAGAAGACTGAAGTGTTCGTTTGAAGATAAGTGCATGATGACTTTGCAAAAATATATATATATATATATAGCATAAAATAACTAGTTTCCTTCCCTTCATTTTCCAGTATTTTCAATGCTAATATTTTTTTTTCCACACAGAAGTGCATCAGCGGTGCAACTAGGCTACACAAACAAGATGTTC